ATCGAGTGAGCCACAGGCTGGGGCTGTCTTTGAAATCATCTTCACAGTGGCCAGTGGAAGTCCCAGCAGATGGTGACCGTTTGATGATGGAGTGGGAAGCTTCTCTTCTTTTGAACCAAAAAGATTGTAGTTTGAGTCTCAGCCTCAAACCAGTCATTTGGAGCCGACACCCACGTGTCATTCATACCCCCAGCCACCTTTGGCTGCTGTATTCTGTGTGACTCGTCAGGGGCTCTGACATCTGTGGTCGGTGGGGCAAAGCAGGCCGTCACTGGTGCTGGCAAAGGGAGTTTCGCTGGAATGTGGCCGCAGTTGGCATAAGGTCTGTGGCTCCTGGGCTGAGCACCTGTGGTTTGCCTGTTCCCACTCAACATCCGGTCTGCTCTCTATCTGCAAAAAGGCAGCCCTTGCCACCTGCCCTCGTCAGAACTGAGTTTCCTGCAGCCTCCAGAACTGTGAGCTTGATCACCTTTCCTCCACGTATGTAAGGCTGTGTGCTGGAGTGTTCTGTTTGTGGACATGCAAAGTTGACCAGTACACACGTGGCCCTTCCTGTCCTCTCATCCTGTAAGAAAAGAGCCACCTACCTATAAAGGACTTACATCGCAGAGGACCAGATATCACAGAGATGCGTTAAACACCACACAATTTCTTACCTGTTGGTCTGCTGTCTTCCTAGTAGCCAGCCTTTCAAAGAGAAGAAATGACGAGTTCTCCTTCTGGAGCTCCCACTTCCCAACTGCTTCCTTCAAATACTATGGGGACCACTTGTCAAAAGGCTCAGTCTTTGTCCAGCCGCCATTTCTGTAGGGTCTGTAGGTTCTTCTCACGGCACTGGCTTCTTACTCAGAAGTCTAATAACTCACAAACCCCATGTGTCCAGCTTTGAAGCACAAGGCTCTTTGCTTCTGGAACAAAGTGTACAAGGAGTAGAAAGACATTTGTCTCTGACCAATTTAGGACCATAATGTGGCTGCCGATCTGTTGGATTTGGATTAGGCATTTGATTTTCTCAAGATCTGCAGAGCAGAAAACTGCCTTTTATCCCGTCTCTGCCAGGGTGACCAAGAGAAAGTCATTTTGTCTTTTAAGCATCAGGCTCCTGATCAGAGAGGTAGAAGAAAGTTCAAGATGAGGTCAGACTGAGTGGATCACAGGTGGGGAGGCTTAACAAGGGGCCCGGCATAAAGAAACGACCCACGAAAGCGCAGCTGCTCTATTATGGCTGTGTGTCATCCAGATTCTCGTAGCTGGTTATTAACCACACATGGCTTCTCTAAATTGTAATTGGAGAAATCCAATGGAGAAAATTCACAAAGAAGGCAGGAGAAGGAGGGTCCTCCCAGAGCCATCAGACCTGAGACACGCATCGCCACCTTTGTTCCTGTTCCCCTGACTTCTTATTTTTGACTTCTCAGTTGTAAGTTTAGCAATGTGACATGCAATTACTGCAGCAGGATGGAAACCGTGTCAGGAAGTACGTGCATGGGGTTGGGTAGATACAAAGATGATAATGAGTGGAGCACGTTTTTATGAGGCTTAGGAACTCCAGGGACCTCAGGCACAGGGCGAGGGTACTGCGCCTAGAGTTCTCACTGACAGGTCAAAACCTGGTGGTACCCTGGGCCCCCTCTGGCAGAGCAGAGCGCAGAGTGCTCTGTTCCTGCAGGGGGATTCTTAGGACCTATAGAAGAGGCCTGCTCTCTCAGGCTGAGCCAGTCCTGTTGGTATCTGCCTGTTGGCTCTCCTCTATCCCTCTTTACTCTTCGATATCACCTGTCCCTGAAGGTGTTAATTCTTCCCACCTTGGCCCAGAAGCTGGTCCATTTTGCCTCTGAAACAAAGATCTAGTTCTTACCGTGGGATATGGTATATAACATGCCCAGAAATGACTGTCTGGGAGCGCCGAGATGGGCAGAGAGCTTCCTCCGAAAGAGCTCCTCAAAGTGAAGGCCATGGGGCATGAGCGTCTGCCTCCAGGAGAGTTTATTCTCTCCCACACCCGCACCGGGGAGAAGAGCCAGCTTTTGACCTGAAAGGAAGGACAAAAGAGGCCGTCCGGCCAAGCCAACAGCTCGGTTAACCAAGCCCAGGCTCAGAGTCAGGCGGATTTGTGTGAGCTTTGGCATCACCAGGCCCTACGTGACCCAAGGACAAAACAGACAGTTTTTCTGCCACCGCTGCGAGCTGTGTCCGGGGTAAACAGGATACCTGTTGGCCCTTGTGGTCCCCCCTCAGGCCTGTGGTCCTCCCTGCCGTGGTCTTCATCCTCATCATCCTCTTCGCCATGGTGGTGACAAGCACCATGATCAGGGCGTGGTGCTGCTGGTGATGTGGGTTGGGATGCGTGGATGCTGACCCAGGTGGCACTGATGAGGATTCTGCTGATGGCAAGGGGGTGGCCGTCACAACCACCATCTTCCTCAGCTCCATCATCCTGACCTCCACGACCCTCATCACCATCCTCCTGTCCCATTCAGAATCTCCACAGTCATCACCACCACCACCATGGTCCCCACCGCCATCTCCACCGTTACAGTCTCCGTCCTAATTCACGATGGCCATTACCATCGTCATCATCCTTATTACCATGGTCTGCTGGTGCCTGGGTATATTCAACAGAGAGGGAGTATCCACTATGTCTGAGGGGCCCCTGGAAAAAGTCACTCATCGCCACCCACATCATATCACCACTTAATCAAGATCACCTTGGCCACAAACATTACGACCACCATCATCACCATCACCACCGCTACCATCATCATCACCACCACCATCACTACCATGCTCACCAAGACCTCTGCTATTCCTGCTGCCTCCTGCACGGTCCGCATCACACCCACGACATCCCTTTCACCATCGCGGTCGCCATCCGCATCACCTCCTCTCATCCCAGGGCCCGGGCTAATCACCAACTCTTCAGGACAGAATAGCTGTCTCCTGCCTGGGTCTCAGGGTGTGTGTCTGGGAGAAGGGGAAGAGGACACAGAGCAGGTACTAGTGCCTCCGTGGCCATCCATCATGTCTCTTCCACCCCTCCTCTGCCCACAAGGTCTTGTTGGGTTTCAAGGAACTTGGTGGAGGAACAAGAAATGGCAGGGCTGATGGGCGTGCTGTTGGTGGTGAGGATGGGAGGGGTTTTTGTGGTTTAAATTGCTTTTGGCCCCCTTGGTGGGCTGGTTTGGAGGACTTAAAGTCTACCCCAGGTCTCCGGGAGACGGAGAATTCACGCAGTGATTTATCGCAGATGTCACAAGCTGGGCACGGGCAGAAGCAAGGCCACACTGGCCAAGCTCACTGTGAGTGGTGAAGTTTCAAGACAAAGCCCCACAGCGGCTGTGCCCTGAGGTCGCTCCCAGGGTTGGGGGCCAACCCTGGGGTGGGCCACCATGGGCAAAGTGTGGCATGTACGGGGTGGATCTTGAACCAGTGGATGGAAGATGGCTGGCGCGTGGCCACGACTCTGTTTCCCAGCAATGCTCTACCGCCCCGCAGTTCAGGGTGGGAATCCCTTGTGACAAATGGCAGTCGCCCCCAAAGAGGAAGCAGTGGGGAGGCAAAGCGGATGTTCAGCTCCTGACAGCTTTGAATCATTACCAGCGATTCCTCCACGAGGGCTGTGCTCAGCAGAGAGGTAACATCTGCTGTGGAGACGGCCAGGGAGGCTCCCAGCTGCCGCCCTCGCCTCGGCAGACCCCAGGTCTCAGGTGTGCTGGGCAGATCTCTGCTGCCTGACGTTGGGATTGGGGATCTGGGGTAGGGAGATAGGTCTAGCACCCCCGCGTCTCAAGCTCCTGGTAGCTCATCCCCGGGGGTGGAGGGGGGGAAGCAGGGACATCTCCCTGCAGCTCTGTCGCTCGGTCCTCCGCTCCTGGGGTTCGGTTCTCCACTAGCAGGACGGAGCCAGGGCGATGACTGGCTGGCAGAGTCAGCCAGGGCTGGCCCTAGATCCCAGGTCCCAGAAAGAATGTGACAGATGTGGTCAGGAAGGAATGTGGTCAGAGTGGGGACCAGAGGCAGGGGCTGCTAGAAGCCTCTTCCTCCTTCAACCTCCATCTCTGGCTGGAAGCGGATGAGAGCGCGTTCCCTCCCCTCGGCTGGTCAGACTGGCCGCTGTGCTGTGGAGTCAGCCTACCCTTCTCGGCCTGCCCTGCCCACACTGCTGGCCCTGTTGTTTCTGCCCCATGCCAGGGAGAAGGCCAGGGAAGAGAGGCCGAAGGGCCGCTCCTCCCCAAAGGAGCTCCCGCCCTGGGCCCGGGTCCTTCATTCCTGGAAACTCAGTGGGAAATGAAGCTCCCGAGGAGGACTCTGGAGAGAGGCAGAAGCCATCAGTGCCCCAGAGGCTGCCAGGCGGTGGATCTGCCTTCCCCTAAGAAACCCTGGGCCCAACCCTTAGGCCAGTGTCCCGCCCTCCAGGGTCATGACTCCAGAGCAAAGGGAGGGAGGAAGAGGTGAGAGTCCTCAGCAGAGATTTCCTGAAGCCAGGTGCAGGCAGCAGGAAAGCCCTGGCAGGTTCAAGGGCTCACCTGCCCTTGAACCATGTCAGGGCTTAAGGGCTGAGAGAGACTGGCACTTGGAGCCTGCCTGCTTCCCTCCCTCCCTCCTTCCCTCCTACCCTTCCTCCTCTCTTCCTTCCTCTCTTCTTCCCTTCTTTCCTTCCTCTCTTCCTCCCTTCTTTCCACCCTCCCTCCTTCCTCCCTCCTTTACTCCTTTCCTCCCTCCCTTCATTCCTCCCTCTTTGCTTTCCTCCTTCCTTCCCTCCCTCTTTCCTTTTCTTACTGCCTGCCTTTCTTCCCTCCCTTCCCTCCTTCCCCCTTCTTCCCCTTCCATCCCTCCTTCCCTCCTTTCTTCCTCCCTCCTTCCCTCCCTCCCTCCCTCCTTCCCTCCCTTCCTTCCTTCTTCCTTTCCGGGAGAGGATGGTCTCTGTGCCCACGGCCCCTGCCAGCAGGTATGAAGGGGCATGGCCTGCCGCAGCCCTGACCCTGTCCCCTCCTCTGCAGGTCTGGCTGTGCATCAGATCATCACCATCACCGTCTCCCTCATCATGGTCATCGCTGCGCTCATCACAACTCTTGTCTTAAAAAATTGGTAAGGCTTGGAAATGGGGGGCGGTGGGATCCCCGGGGCGGCTGTACACAGACACCCCAACTCTGCAAGCCCAGGCTGGGATCGCAGCCCTCGAGTGGCTTTTCCCATTTGGATAGAGACCCAGGCAGCCCCAGCCCTGGGCCCTGTGGCTGCCGTCAGCTGTGGCTGGGCCTGGCCTTCCCCAGCTTCTCTGCCATAGCGCCTCAGGCTGATCCTCTTGCCTGACCTTCTCTGGGCCCAGGATTATTTCTGGATGCATAATCCCTGGGTGGCCCCCTGTGGCCCCTCCCTGTGGGGTCCACACTCAGTGGTGCCCAACCCTCCCCATGGTCGAAGGGGTGGGGCCTGGCCAACCTCGCCTGACCCTCCCTCCCTCCCTCCCTTCCTTCCTTCCCTCCTTCCTTCCTCCCTTCCCTCCTTTCTTCCTCCCTCCTTCCCTCCTTTATCACTTCCCTCCCTCCTTCCTTCCTCCCTTCCCTCCTTCTTTCCTCCCTTCCCTCCTTTCTTCCTTCCTCCTTCCCTCCTTCCCTCATTCCTCCGTCTGTCCATCCCTCCCTCCCTCCCTCCCTCCCTCGCTTCTTTCCTTCCTTCCTCCCTTCCCTCCTTCCCTCCTTCCTTCCTTCCTTCCTTCCTTCTTTCCTTCCTTCCCCTTCCTCCCCCTCCCTCCCTCCCTTTCCTAGTCACTCTGTGTCTGATCTAGGTTGCAGCCTTGCTGTGGGCAGCTCATCTCCCCTGGCTGCTCCTGGGAAGTGGCCTCCTTTGAGGCCAGCCCTCAGTGCCACACACCTGACACCCCCACCCAGAGAAAGCCAGGGAGGGAGTGGCTGGGCGCTGCTGTGGGCCGGCCACAGCCGCTCCTGTGGCACCCATCTCTCCCATGGAGTATCACCACTCCCAGGGGTCCCCTGCTGCTGTGGGGTGACAGGAAGACAGGCCTGAGGGAGGCGGGGCCCGAGCCTCCAGAAAGGACTCACCCACCGTGGACCCCGATGGCAGGAGGCATGAGGATGGGGATGGTGGGGCCCCACCCAGGCCAGGCCCTTCCCCCTGGCCGGGTCCCAAGATGCCTCCTGACTGCTGGCCCCAGTTTGCTAGCGGTGGGGGACGAGGCCTTCTCAGGCAGGGACTGGCCGGGGAAGGGGCTCCCAGAGGCATGGCAGGACCGTCTCCATGGTCCCTGTCAGAACAGAGAGACCCTCTCTGCAGAGGAGTCTGAGGCCTGACGCAGAATCAGAGGCAGCTGGGGGCCGATCCTTCCCCTGGGCATTCAGCGTGCTGGAGGTGCAACAGGCTGGCAGCAGGTGGCCAAATGCTGTTCATGACCTCCGCCTCCTCTGTGTGGGGCAGTGTCCTTCACCGCTTCACTGGAGGGTGTGATCTCCTGCAAGACTCTCTCCCCACCAAGGGGAAACAGAGGCAGGAGGAAGGGAGACCCCCAGGAGCCTGGACAGGCACCGGAGGAAGGGGGTGCATGGTGTCTGGGTGAGGGGAGCACCCCCACACTGCAGGGGAGCTCTCCCAGATTCCCCTCTGTGAGCTTGTTGTCCGAGTGCCCCCTGGGTTCCACGGGGCCTCCTCTTGTCCAACCCCCCACACAAGGGTGATCATCCGCCATGGCCGCCTGGGGACACGGGACAGTCCCCTGGATGCCCCCTCAGGGCTGGAGGACGAGCCACACTGTTTCCTTCCTGTGATTGTTCTCCAGAGGCAGGGAGGGGGGAGGGGGAGGTGTCACCACTGCCCAAAGCTCCCCAGAGAAGGTCCTGTGGCACCCCACCATGAAGGAGCGGCCGCTCGGACCGGCCCCCCTGGGACTCCCCGCTACTCAGGCCCCCTCTTACCAAGGCTGCCCTACTGAGACATCGGCGGGGAAACTGAGTCAGCACCCCAGCTGACGCTCTTCATGCATCTGCTTACCCCCACGGCCCTCCCAGCGGTTCATAGCCACATTTAAATTTTAAATTTTGTTTTAGCTAGTTTATATATGTATTTATTTCTTTCCCCCACCCCCCCCCAAAAAAAGATTTGATTGCTTGATTGTGGTTGGTCTTTCTGAAGAGGCTGGAAATTGCCATCTGATAGGAAACAGTTATGGAGGACGCCTGGAAGCCAAGCCTTCTGGGAGGAAAGCTCCAGAGCCTTGTGTGTGTGGGGGGAGGGGTTCGGGCCCTGCCTGCCCCCACTCCCACCCCCGGCCTCTCCCTCTCTCCTAGCTGTGCCCAAGGTGGGAACACGCGGAGAAACAGCCACCAGCGGAAGGTCAACCAGCAGGAGGAGAGCTGCCAGAACCTCACCGACTTCACCCCGGCACGGGTACCCAGCAGTGTGGACATCTTCACGGCCTACAACGAGACCCTGCAGTGCTCGCACGAGTGCGTGCGGGCATCTGTGCCCGTCTACACCGACGAGACACTGCACCCGGCTGGGGAGTACAAGTCCACATTCAACGGAAACCGGTGAGCGCAGATCCTGAGCCTCCGGGCTCCCAGTGGGCCAGGCCTGATCAGTGCCATGAGTAGCCCAAGTGTATGGCGGGCAGGGCTGGGGGGGCAGAACCTGGACCCAGCTGTGTTCCCCTGGCAGACCCAGACTCAGGAAGCAGAGTGGGAGGGGTTTTCCTCAGCCCTCAGTCCCCGCTGGGACTGCTCCCCCTGGGCCTCAGAGTTCAAAGCCAGCCATGTAGCCCACTGGCCTCACTGAAGATCAACAAATGACGCTTTGTCCCTCCTGGAGTCTGAGTCTTTGAGACCTCTCTCCCCCACCCCCATCAATAAAATGTCAGCAGCGAGCATGGAGGAAAATCAAATAGCATCCAGACTCCAGGAGCAGTCATCTCTTATTAAATGCTTTCTTTTATTATTCATGTACGATCTCACAAAGAAGACGTATTTCTCCAGCCATCGCTGGCAATATTTACGAAACCCTTGAGTCAGCTTCTGAAGGTTTGTCCAGAATTAAATTAAAATATCAATAAGCTATTTTTTTAAGTGAGCGTGCACTCCTACATTATTTTGTAAATTAAAACAAAAATCCCCAACAACTGAAAAAAAACCTTAGGACAACAGGAGCTGGTGGGGTGACACCAGGTCTCCCGAAGCACCCCTGAGCCACAGGGTGTGAGGCCACTTCAGACAGTCCCCAGGGACCAAGAACCCCAGGCATCTTGACTTGCAGTCAGGACTTTCGTGTTCTTCTGTGATCCTCAGGGGTCTGAAGGCAGAAGCTCAGCAGCCCAGGTATGCAGGGGACAGCATGGAGCCATTGGTACTGCATCCTTGTACAGCAAGGGAGTACTCGTCCCGTGCGGGATTCTCCAGTGTTCTCTCCTGGGTGCCCCCTTCCTTCTAGGAGGGCCCTCCCAGCCCAGACACCACAGAGCCCCTGTTCTCAGCCTTTGGTTCCCCTCTTAGATATTTGGGGAGCTCTGTAAGAGCAGCCCAGAGGCCAAGTTCATGAAGAGCCGACAACCACAAAGTTGTGTGGGTGGGCGGGACCCATGGCTGTCTGATTAGGGCTTGGGCAGCCCTGGGAGAACGCGGGTGCTCAGGGAAGAGGCTGCAGGCTGCCTTTCTTCCTTTGCTTTGTCCCCCTTGCTTTCTGCGCTGTGCTGAGGAGCCTAATAAGCACATGGTCGGCCCCACCCGAGCCCTGGTGTCCTGGCACAAAGGCCAAGAATGGAGGGGTGTCTACAGGGGGGCCCAAAGTTCTGCTCTGTTGCAGCTCGCTGACCTGGGGACAGGGTAGCTTAGCCTCATAGGTGACAAAGTGGGAGGGTTCCACCTTAAAAGCCAGGCCCTGTCCTCTCTGTCATGCTCAATAAAGAATATCACATCTCTGCCACCAGAGGATTATATATTATGTCGTATTCTATTACAGTATGTATGTTATTATATTTGTAAGTATACCCTGAGCTCGGTGCTTGTCCTGCAAATTCCAAAACCCACATCATGGTGCTGGCACAAGCAAGGGGTAGCAGGTACAAGTCTTAGCGTTCCTTCATCTGAGTGCCCAGGCCTGCATCCTCAGGTGTGAGCCTGGGGGTCCCCTCCTGGGAAGGGGTCTCCAGACAACAACCTGACGTGTCTCCCCCTGCAGGCCGGCGCTGCCAGCCCCTCTCCTGTGCTCTACAGACCCCGTAACCCCACCCTGTGCTCTCTCCCTCTGCAGATCTTCCTCTGCGGATCGGCATCTCATCCCTGTGGCCTTTGTGTCTGAGAAATGGTTCGAAATCTCCTGCTGACTGGCCGAAGGCTTTTTTACCTCCTGGGGGCAGGGCAGACGCCATGTGTCTATTTCATGGTAAGCATGCTGCTCCACTCCTCCTGTCTTTACTTGGCGGAGGGTGGGGGGGTGCTGTTGAAGGTCTTTCTCCAAGTGGGACATGTTTTGAAGGATTGCTTTTAAGGATGTATGGGGAGGCTGGATGGCAGCTCTCTGAAGTGCTCTGATGGAAGAGAAGGAGGAGGAGGAGGGGAGGGGGAGGAGGAAGAGGAGGGGGAGGAGGAGAGAGAGGAGGAGGGGGAGGAGGAGGAGGAGGAAGAGGGGGAGGGAGAGGGGGAGGAAGAGGCGGCAGCTCTCCTGATTCCTAGTGGGGCTTCAGGACTGTTTGGCTGTCCACTCTGTGCCGTTCCCGAGGTGGCTGCCTGGCGTGGGCCCCTGGGGCAGGAGCATCACCCCTGGAAGCAGCTGGTCACAGCTCCTTCGCAGCAAGAAGACATTGGGACCGCAGCTCTGTGGAGCGGGGTTGGTACACCCCCCCCTTCAGGGAGGACAAGGAGCAGAATTCAAATACAATTTTGAAATATAAAAATAAGAGATAAGAAAGAACATGATAAAGAAAGAAAGTGGAGACATCTACTAATTTGAAGCCAGGGACCGACACCCAAACAGGATGAATTTTCCACGCTCTACTGCCTGGGAACATTTGGTTTGCTTTCAGTGATATTAATGTGGATGCAAACGTTAAATGGCTTCTCTGGTGCCGAATCTCAGGATGTGATGCCAGGCTGTACCTCACCCAGGGCTGGTGACCCCATGCCCTGTACGTGCCCAGACTTGGGGAACAGCCAGGATTTTCATGTTTGTTTTGGGGGTGATATCAGGCATGCTAGACACCCTCATTTTTCTCCTGTGCCACCCCAGAATGAGCCTCACCCTGCAATCCTATCCCAGGCCTCCAAGCCCTTTGGGGGCATCAGGGAGGGACCTCTCCTCCAGAAAGTGCTCTTCCTCCTCCTCTTCACCGTCCACACAGAGCTGAGTGGGAATTCCTGTGGACAGAGGGAGAGAAGACTGGGAAGTTGTAGGGGACTCAGTCCGCAGCACTCAGCTGGTCAGGGGGCAGCTACATTCAGTCCAGTATTGTGTTGGTCAGCTCTCGATCCCAGAGCTAATGAGTTACAAGTTCCCTCCGCTTTGTGTTTCCAGCCTTACTCCCTGTCCTGAAGACAGAATGTTCCACCAGTGGGCAAGGGCATGTGATGAGATTGTTCAGAGGTCTCTGTGGAGCCTGTGTGGCCAGCAGGGGAGTCTGCCCCAGCCTCTGGGTGGCAGGAAGAAGTATGGTGCATTCTCAGAACAGAGGCTCTGGTAAACAGTGGCTGGCCCCTTTGGCATTGCAGTCAAACTCATCATAGGAGCTTGCTGATTAGCAGTGGGCTCTCAGGACCAGCCTGGAGATGTTCAGTAGGTGCCCATGGTGGGTGGTTCTAACTCAGAAAGTGCATTAAAGGCTCAGCATAGTGGTGCATGCTTGTAAGCCAGTCCTGCCGGAGGTGGAGGCTGAAGGATCATGTCCCAGGCCAAGCTCCAGGCAAAAGCATGAGACCCTGCACAAAAAACAAACTAAAGCAAAACAAAAGATGATGGAGGCGTAAGTGAAGTGGGAGAGTGCTTGCCTAATATGCACAGGGCTCTGAGTTCAATCCCCAGTGCTAAAAAGTACAACAACAATATTCTCTGGCCCGGAGATGGCGGGTCTGTGACAGCCTCTACTTCCCCTCTGCCCCCATCCCCGGGCTGAGGACCCACAGAATGGGGGCCACCTGTCCTCAGCTTCAGGCGGCCTCTGACACAGGGGCCACTCGGTCCAAGGCAGAGCTCTCTTAGCCCCCACAACAATCCCACAGGGGTGTGTGTGGGGGAATCGGATGGAGGCCAGGGGAAGGGGAAGGGAAATGATGTGACCAGGGCAGTCCGGTTGTCAGCGATGGGGCTAGACTGCCCCCGGATGCCTAACTGCAGACCGTGCCACGTAGCGGGCAGCTGAGGGACACAAGATCTCCAAGTACACAGGCTTCTCAGGGCCAGGCAGCCTCCTCTGCTGGACAGGGGCCAGCTTTGCAATGCCCGCAGGCTTGAGCCCTGGACCCTGTGCATGAGAGCAGGAAGCCACAAGAACGAACTTCCACAAATGCCTCCGATTATTTGTTTCCAAATCTCAGGAGCCACCTCTCTCCCTCCATCTCATTTGCTAGATTCTCCACTGAAGACTCTACAGTATTATTGGGTTCTCCCAGCACCCCCCCCCTCTGGGCAGGAGCATGAGATGTAGGTACCCCTTAGGTGGGACCCCACTTCTCAACCCTGTTATTTTCTGAGCATGCCCTGCGTACCTGAGGGGATGTCCCTGGACACAGACAGCTCGAGGGTCCCTCCCTGGAGGCCTTACAAAGCCTCTGGGCAGCTGGGAGAGCCAGGGGCCATGGAGATATGCTTAGATGGCCGAGCTCAGCCACCACATCTGTTGACACAGAGTCATGGTTTACACCTGGTGATTTTCCGTGGCGCAGACCGGACCAGGAGGGCTGTGCAAACAGCTTCGTTAGTCTGTGATAGATGCTTAAAGATTCCATTGCTGTGTGTCCGACAGACTATTTTTCACTCACTGAAGTGAGGGCTTTTGGATTCATGAATCCTCTGATTCTAGTAATTAATGCCTGGACATGAACATCAAGCTGGAAGAGTCAGAGAGAGAGAGAGAGAGAAAGATCCCTCAGATTTACTAGGGTACTTATTGTCCCTTAAATAAACAGCAATTAATACTAAAACATTTAATTAAGGTTTAAGAGCCAATGGAGATATTTATCTCTCACATAGTTGTTAAGACGCTCCAAATGCCTCTTTAATGATGATGTAGCAGGCCGTGCTCATGCCATTCCCAGGCCACCTGCACACGCACATGTGAGACCCAGCCATGGCTGTTGGCTTCCCTGCAGACAGGTGTGTGCCGTGCCCGGGCTGCCTCCTCCGGGGCTCGGCCTCCTTCCGAGGTTGCAGCCAGTTCCTGCTCAGATCCTCCTTCAGGGGGACCAGGTTGCTCTGGACAGAGATTAAGTGAAGCTAACTTCCTCCCTCAAAGGAAGGGAGCACCTTGACATTAGCTCCTGCGCCAATTCCTGGCCATTTTTCATAGGACAGGTAAAGTAGAGAAAACCTCATTAGCGTCCACTCCATTTTCTTTCCCCATTCTCCAAAGCCACTTTATCCTAGACAGAGCCTCAAAAACCATCAAGGATCATGAATCTAATACAAGTGACAAATAACTTATCCTGTTATTTGGTTCAAAAATATATTAAAGATACACCTAATAAAAATAAGAAGAAGTGCACCTGAGCCTTCCCACTTTGTTCTTTAACAAGGTTTTGGTATCAAGGTTTTGGTATCAAGGTTTTGGTATTCAAAGGAGCAGTCTTTTTCCAAAGTCACACCCAGACTCTTTCTAGCTATCATCTGCGATCACATTGAAGAATCTTAGGTTCCAGACGTCCTTTCCCACTGTGGAGAGCTGAACAGTAGCTGCTGTGCCAAGCAGTCTGGCTGCTGTCGGTTTGTTCTGTTTTACAAAAGCAAATGCTGAGCATGAAATCCAGAGAGACCATGATGTTTACAGCCCAAATCTCCCTCCAGGCAGCAGAGGGCAGAATTTATCCCAGATCCCATCTCCAAGATGGCTTTGCAGTACGTACACACAGCGCTCTTGTGTTCACCTGCTTCTTTTCCTTCCCTGGGGTCCAGGACTGGCCGCTCACATCTCTATTGCCTTGTCTGGCCTTCCTCCAGGCCCATGCCAGGCAGGGAGGTCTGTGGAAGTCCAAGCAGACCCCGGAGTGGAGCTGCAGGGCTGGGCAGCAACTTAGGGCCTGGCTGGGAATGGGAGTGAGTGGCTGTGACAGACTCAGCTCCCTGCATGCTCTGAAAGCAGCGTTGCTGCTCCTAGTTTACGGTCGGAATCATTGTCCTTTATTTCTGGTTTTGTGTTGTTGTTGTTTTTCTGTCCCAAGACATGATATATGTATGGATAAGCTTAGAGGAGACTTTCTCCTCCAAGAGACTTCTCTGAAAGACTCCAGCCACAGGGAGACTTTGTCCCTATGTGTGGCTCTCAGGGGCTGAGCTCTTCTGAGAGGTTACTGTCTACTCAGGAGCCCGCTGCAAGTGGTACCTGGAAGAGGTGTCAGGCTGGAGGGGGTTGGTCCAGGGCTGCCCCCCTGGCCGGGACTTGTTCAATGTCAGGATGGAGGATGGGAAGCACTCCACAGGAAACTGGCCATGAAGGTGGGGTGGCCCTGTGATTCAGTGTCCCCAACCTGCTCAGAACAGGTGTGGGCAACAGCGAGGCTCCATTAATAATCAGTAATCAGAGGCCAGGTAAAGTGGCTCACACACACACACATTATGTATATACACACAGATAGACCATTTACGTTATCTATTATACACACATATACACATCATATATGTATTATATATTACATACACAATACATATGTGCATAAATATGCACCTATGAATACATGCACACATATATCAGAACCAAGAATAAAATCACTAAGTCCAGCCTTTAATGATTCTGTTTATTTGTTTTTGTATCAGTTCTGGGGTTTGAACTCAGGGCCTGTTCACTCTCTCTGAGCTTTTTCACCCAAGGCTGGTGCTCTACCACTTGAGCCACAGTTCCATATCTGACTTTTTGGTGATTCATTGGAGATAAGAGTCTCACAGACTTTCCTGCCTGGCCTGGCTTTGAGCCACCATCCTCAGAGCTCAGTCTCTTGAGCAGTTAGGGTGATAGGTATTGTTGTGCCCAGGTCTCAGGACCCCCACCAAAAAGCCCACCGAGAGTCAGACTTTACAGCTGTTTTAAGGTTTTATTTAGATGGGCTGCAGCTCGGGCCTCATCCTATACGCCGACACAGTGGAGCCTAGGAGAAGAGCCCCAAGCTAAAGATTTGCAGGGCTTATAAAGGCACACAACCTACCAGGTGTTTGGATTACCACCACGTGTTGCTCTGCTAGAC